TGAAGTGGGTCACTGTGTATTCAGTAGGATTCATTAAGATTTAACCTGTTCATTTATCCTAAGGAAATAACCAGAAAGTGCATCATGGGAGACGAGCTTGGCCTTATTTGGGAGAACATTAAGAACTATTTGGGTTATCAACTGTAATAAAAACTTACTATAACTTTTACACTTTTGGTGAAACTGAGTTCCAAAATCCAAGTGGTTCCATTTTTTTCTGTGAAATTTTTCCAGACAGATCAGAAATGTCAACCTAATAATGTTTGTGTTTGAAAGCATCTGCTGTGTGCTCACCTCTACACTCTGACAAGCAGGCAATATGATCTCTGGTTATCTATTTTCTTTCTACTTATTCATCACTCCTCCAGTCACTCAGTCTGGTATTTTATCACGGGATTCACTGATGAGCTGTGGCACAGATGCCATCTCTGTGCCTTGGTTTCTTTCTCTTTGCTTTGCCTGCAATGGTTTGACTAGATCAAGCCTTCTCAACAGAATTATCAGGAGAGCTTATTAAGCACAGATCACGAGGGCCACTCCCACTATCTGATTCAACACAAGCCCCAGAACTGGCACTTCTAACAGTTCCCAGGAGGTGACATGCTCTGAGCTCCCTTTTACTTTTTCCAGCTCTGAGAGTCTATGCTCCCTCAGCAGAACTGCTTTACCTACACTCAGGAAGAGATTAAACACTATGCATTATCTATCTGTAAGGAAAAGTCACTACGCCTTTTTTTTTCTATTGTGGTAAAGTATACATGGTGTAACATCGATTTTAACTTCTTGTAAACGTACAGTTTAATTGACTAAGCAGATTGACATTGTTGGGCAACCATCACCACCACCCACTCCAGAACTTTTTCACCTTCCCCAACTGAAACTCCTTATGTATCCACTAAACAATGACTCTCCATTCTTCCCTCCCCCGGCAATCATTCTACTTTATAGTTCTATGAATTTGGCTGCTCTAGATAGCTCATATAAATGGAATCATACAGTAATAATCCTTCTGGGACTGGCTTACTTGACTTAGCATGCCTTCAAAGTTCATTCATCTTGTACTTCATTCTTTCGTGGCTAAATAGAATTCATTACATTTACATAATCACGTTTTATTTAGCCATTCACGTGTTGATGGCTACTTGGGTTGCTCCCACTTTGGGACTATGATAAATAATGGTGCTATGAACACGGTGTACAGATACCTGTTTGAGTCCCTGCTTTCAACTCGTTTGGACATACACCCAGAAATGAAATTGCTGGATGGTGTAATTCCATTTAACTTTCTGAGGAACTGCCATACTGTTTTCACAGGAGGTGCATAATTTTGCATCCACACCAGCAGTGTGAAGGGTTCCAGTTTCTCCACATCCTCACTAATGCTTGCTTTATTTTCTGCTTTTTGTAAGAGTCATCCTAATGAGTGTTAAGTGGGACTTCATGGTAGTTTTGATTTGCATTTCCCTAATGATAAGTTACGCTGAGCATCTTTTCATGTGTTTACTGGCCATTTATGTATCCTCTTCGGAGAAATCTTCAAGTCCTTTGCCCATTTTTTTTTTTTTAAGACAGAGTATCATTATGTTGACCTTGGTAGAGTGCCATGGCATCACAGCTCACAGCAACCTCAAACTCTTGGGCTCAAGTGATCCTCTTGCCTCAGCCTCCCAAGTAGCTGGGACTAT